CCCCCCCGCTTCTGCATGACATCGCCTCCCTTCAGTGGCCCACCCAGTTTCAGCCTGCTGTGGTCCCAGGTTATTTGGATGCTGTTTTCCTGTGGAATTCAATTGCCTCGACTCAAACACCGAGAAAACCCGGAGTGGCAGGCGAATGCAGGAAGGACCCAACAGTCTGACATGAGTTGCAGTTTCTCCGCAATGAGCATGCGTGTAATACCAGAGTCCGATCAGTACTACGGTCCATGTGGAGAAGGGGTCTCAGCTCCCCCTCGTGCCATTTTCCTGACTTGAGATGGCCTGGGGATGCTATTTGGCTTTCTGGGAGAACCCACATGTATTCCAGCCTGTGTGTGCTGTCTGATACGCTGAGCTGGGTAGCCAAGGATAGCCCGATCTTGTCAGATCTCGGAAGCTAAGTAGGGTTGGCCCTGGTTAGTTCTTGGACGGGAGGACGCCAAGGAAGTCCAGGATTGCTGCACAGAAGGCGGCAGTGGCAAACCCGTGGGCACTCCATGAAATTGCTGAGCGGTCGGGTTAGAACAGATAAAAGGAAGTCCTTCTTCACCCAAAGAGTGATTCACACATGGAATTCACTGCCACAGGAGGTGGTGGCGGCTACAAGCATGGACGGCTTCAAAAGGGAATTAGATAAGCATATGGAGCAGAGGTCCATCAGTGGCTATTAGCCACAAGGTATAGATAGGGGCTCTGGGGCAAGTGATGCTCTGTCTTCTTGGTGCTTGGGGGGGGGGGTCAACAGTGGGAGGGCTTCTAATGTCCTGGCCCCACTGGTGGACCTCCTGGTGGCACCTGGTATTTCTGGCCACTGTGTGACACAGAGTGTTGGACTGGATGGGCCTTTGGCCTGATCCAACATTGGCGTCTCTTATGTTCTCTTATGTTCTTATATGGAGCAGAGGTCCATCAGTGGCTATTAGCCACAAGGTATAGATAGGGGCTCTGGGGCAAGTGATGCTCTGTATTCTTGGTGCTTGGGTGGGGGCAACAGTGGGAGGGCTTCTAGTGTCCTGGCCCCACTGGTGGACCTCCTGATGGCACCGGGTATTTCTGGCCACTGTGTGACACAGAGTGTTGGACTGGATGGGCCTTTGGCCTGATCCAACATTGGCGTCTCTTATGTTCTTATGTAACCACTTCTGCTCGATTCTTGCCTTGAAAATGCTACGGGGGTCGCCAAAAGTCTGCTGCATCTTGACGGCAAACCCCTCCCCCCAAAGTCTTTGTTGTGTGTGGTCCGGGGTGTGTGTGCAGAGAACAGAGGAATCCATACACAAGACCAGAGCTCAGGCGACCTGTAGGCTGTTGCTGAATCTCTAATCTCCATTTTAGCTGTGCTCGTATGCTATATTTATCCAGCTAGGATAGTGGTAGACAAGGGGAGTATCAGAGGGTTTTATCCCCCCGTGCATACGTTTTAGCAGCTTTGTTGCTTCTGAGACCATTCATTCACTGGATGTTCTTTCTTTCTTTTTTAAAATATAGCCGCCGGTCAGCCGACGACTTTGTGACGGGCATCTCTTGTCTTGCTTACAAAAGTATTCTGCAAGAAGGAAGGTCACGCCGGCGTTCCCGCGGCTGCATCTGGACAATCAACTCGTAAGAGCTTCTGCCCACAGACTTCACGGCTCTCGTCTCATCTTGAAAGGCTGGCATAAAAGATTACATCAGCTCCTTTCCAATGCAATACCTGTTCTCCTTCCTTAATTCACTTTCATTATGTGTATGAGTTGCGTCTCTGGACACTTAGCTCCCTTTCTTCCCAGGAGAGCGCACTCCATATTGTCAGTGATGCGTGGTTTCAGAGTCCGCTCTTCTTCTGGTGGGGGGGGGGTGGCAAGTAACAAGGAAACAAAGATGCAATAAATCTGCTCTGTTTTAATACAACTAGGAACTGGGGGGGTTAAGTTTACATAGCCTTTGTAGGTGTTCTGTAATATGCCAACATATTAATTTAATTAGGTGCATTTGGAGGGGGGGAGGTGAAATTAAGCATCACAGAAAGTGACTTTTCTGTTTATAATTAAAGCGGTAACTTGTGTTTTTTTTATATACAAAGACACTACTTTGATAAAACATACTGTAATTCTCCGACGTTTTACTATATTACCTTCAGTGGAGGGTAGGAATTCTATGAATAAATTATTGCTTTAATCAAGCAATTTGTGTGTGCATAAGATAAATGTTCCTAATGATAACAAAAATATTTTTTTTCTCTAATGAAGGTATAGCCACTAAACTTATATAATAATACTTGCATTCATCAGTTGCAAAAATACCTGACTGAGTAAGGCCAGGAATAGCCAGTTGGCAGCCCGTGAGGCAGATCCGTTCCTGGAGGCCAAGCACATGTCTTTTGGCAGCCCTCTCCCGTCTCAATCAAGAGTGGTGAAAGATTTGTCCAGAGATTCACTGATAGCACAATATCTGTCCTTTGGAGTTTGTGTAGGATGGCCCAGTATACTTGAGGACACATGCATTGCAACAGTGAAACCTTTCCCACTAGGCAGCATAGATGGGAGTTAAATAATGTGGCATCCGACTCTCAGCAGTTGTGAGGGGATCAACATAAACTTCCGGCGTGTGTCCATCAGCTGGAAAAATAGAATTGCCAGAGAATTAAGGAGTTGGCAGTCCCTGAGATAATGAATAGGAAATCCTTCTTAGCATCAGTACTGTAAAACTACATAATGCAAATACTCCTCACAGCGTGCACAGGGCAAAACCACAAGCCAGGGCTGCCCACTGGCAACGATGGGGAAAGACCCATGCATATAACTGCACATGGAAAGACCCATGTGTATCTGAGCTTTCCTCAGCATTAAAGGGAACAGGGGAGATACTCTGCACACATGGGAATCCTGTGGAGCTGTGGGAGTTTGCACTTTCACTCTGTAGAGAGGTGAAATAAATGTTTGAGACTTTAGTTGACTGGTACAACCAAGGGACTACTGGTTTATTTCTTTTCTGTTCTCAGAAATACCGCTACATGTGAGAATGCTTGCATTTTTTTTTTTTAAACCCAATGATATGGCATGTATTGAACTAAGTTTGGTGTACTGGTTAAGTGTGCGGACTCTAACCTGGGAGAACCGGGTTTGATTCCCCACTCCTCCACTTGCAGCTGCTGGATGACCTTGGGCAAGCCATAGTTCTGTCAGAGCTGTCCTTGAAAGAGCAGTTTCTTACCTCAGACGGTGTCTGTTGTGGGGAGAGGAAGGGAAAGGGGTTTGTAAGCCGCTCTGAGACTCCGAGTGAAGGGCAGGGTATAAATCCAGTCTCTTCTTCTTCAAAAAAAAAAAAAAAAAGCAGAACCTTGAAAGGGCATGTTTGAATAATGGACATCAGTCGTGTGCTTTAGGGGGGAAATCTTGCTTAAGCATACATACTTGGAAGTGAGTTTGGGGCAATGTTCCCTCTAAGCCGTGGAGTCTTGTGAGCAAAAATTCTACTTTGTGAGTGACTGGCATTAAAGTTGTGAGCGAGCGATTGGGCTGCTGCATAAATTAGTTTGCTCTGGAGCCCTCCTTCCTGAGCTAAGACAAAAATGTGTGAGCTGGAGGCTAAAAAACTGTGAGCTAGCTCACACTAACTCAGCTTAGAGGGAACACTGGTTTGGTGTACCTCGACAGAATGTACTTCCAAATTGGTGTGCTTGCCATCAGAGTGTTTTTCCCCCACACAGAACTTAATCCCGCCCTTATTCCCATGGTAACTGCACTGACCATTGGCTAATCAAGCTGTGGAATCGGTCACCATGTGATGATTCTCCAAAGGCCACGGCTTCATGCCTTCAGCCAAACGCTGCACGTGGAAGCCAAGCTGGAAGGGGGTTAGCTTAGCCGTCAGCAGTCCCCGGTTTGAACCTATGAACTCAGTCGTCTCTGTTTGCTGTCATCCACGCACACGCCACTCTGGAATCGTCCTCATGTTACCATAGCAACCTTCTGTCCCAGAACTCTTTGCTACGCTGCTCTGATAATATAAGTGATGGAGGGGGCGGGACCCTGTGGGACGGACCTGAACGGTGGTTACTTCCCACGCTTTCATCTACCCCTTACCAAGACCCAATGGCACTGTTGTGGGAAGTAACAACCGATGCTCCTCGCAGATAGTTTTCCAGTTACGTATGTCACTGGAGCATTGTGGGAATCAGCCATTGTGAGTCAGCGGTAGTACCGCTGCATAAGAACCAGTTTTCCCAAGCTATATTGAGAGTATTTTAATGCATCTAGAATTGGCAGATCAGGCCGAAATGGGACACTTGAATTTGAATTTAAGCGTGTTCACTACAAACGGCACCATGTAGATTTTCTAATTATGTCATCATTTCTCTTTCCTTACTTTGCTGCCGCATGAAATAGGAAACGGAGCAGGAGATGAGTATAGGAGCTGATATTGCAAGGTTCAGCTGACAGGCTACAGTGAATGCTAGCACAGTGTTGGTTTGCGAGCTTGCGATTCAGCCGGCTGGTAGGTGAAGCAGTGATTTGAAAAGCACACGTGGCTAGCAACTGAATGTGGACTTTTAAGAAGAAGAAAAATATATATATTTATGCTGCCTTAAGAATATTTAAAAATGCAAAATGAATTACCTGGTCATATATGACTATGTGTACACATCAGGAGTCTTCGGATGTGTTGGTGGAATGAAATAGTGGACATTTATTTGGTAAGCAATAATTTTCCAGGGACCCATGGGGTTAGAGTTAGGGTTAGGGTCACGCAGCAACTAACTATTTATTTTCCTGTCGAGGCAGATCTTGCACGCAGTTGTGTGCCCATGCAAAATGTTTTCCTTTGTCTCCTCCAAAGCATTTGTACACTCTCTTGCTGTCCAGTTTTTAGACCTGTTGCAGCCCGATGGGCCGTTTCACATTCTATTAAAATGGTGCCTTAGGAAATACGAAGCTATTGCGGTCACCAGTGGCATACAGAGGAAACTTAAAAAAACAAAAAGCAAGAAGGTCATTCCCAAGGACAGAGATTGGTAGGAGTTGTTCGCAAGAGAGCTGTTGTATAGTCGTTTGTCGCCTGTACAGCCGAGTTCCGTGTTTATAACCATTAGCGTGATTTGTTCAGATACATTTGGATAACCTTGATGAGGGCACGGTCCAGTCAGAATACCTCTTTGCAAAACCAGGAATGCACACTGTGTAAATGAAAGCCACCCATTCCTTATAAATACGTCTCCTCCTCCTCCCTGTTGACGGGTGCACGTTGCTTTAAATGCAGTAATTCCCAAACTGTGTGCCAGGGCACAGTGTTGTGTCATGAAAGAATGGCTGGTGCATTGTGAGAAACTGATTAAATAATTAAAGGCGCCTGTGCACGCATGCAAATGAGAGGTCGCGCCTTGGCATGCTTCCCCGCTCTGCCCTTCCCTCCTTCCAATTAGCCTTGTTGGGTGTGGGATATTCTTGCTCTATCTCTGCATCAGCCGCGTAAGTCTATGCCTCCCTCCAGTCACAAAACTCAACCAGATCGGTGTGCGGAAGCGTGAGGAATGGGCTCTTCTGAACATGGCTCATTTGTATACACTCTGCACACAAAACATTTGTGGGGTGTAAGAATGCAGTGTGCTCTCCCATCCTTTTTTTGAAATTCCAAAAGCACGCCTCAGCTCTCAGAAGCTTGAGGAAACCTACATTCAAGGTGTGAGTACGAGAACCAATCGGAACATTATGGTGCATTTGGGATGCTGAAAGTTGGCCACTATGGTTTCCCAGTCATAGCTATGGACCATTCCCCCGAGATTCCCACGTGTTCGACTCCACAAGTCAGCTGTGCCAAGGGTACCACCCATGCTAGTCTCTTGCTCAGCCGGGTGGAATCATGTGCTCAAGGACTCGCCGGAGGCAAGGGGGAAGGAAGCAGCAAAGCAGGGCTCTCAAACGTTGCTGTTGCAACCACTTGGAAGCCTCAGCATATTTGGTCTGCATCTCCTGTTGCTTTCACACCACCACAACAGGATAGTGGGGGCAGATGTCAACCTCCCGGCGGGGCCTGGAGACCATCCCAGCAAAGTCGGGTGTGCCCCGCTGCAGCCGCCCCTCAATCTGGCCCAGCTGCTCGGGCGCAAAGAAGCCAGGGCGGGCACATGGGAGGGAGGGCCCGCGTGGCTCTTCCTCCTCTTCTCAGCACAGGCGCAGCGTCGCCCACCTGAGGCTCCGGTGTGACCTAGGGAGAGGTGGCCCCCCCCCCCCCACCTGCTCGCTTGCTCCTCTGCCGGCCAGCTACAGCGCCGCGCCCTGCCCACACCACCATGCATCCTCCTCCTCCTGCAGCCGGCAGAGCCGGGCAAGGCCCAGCACTCCTCCCAGCCTCAAGTTGCCACCTCCCTCTTCCTGGGAAACCCAGTGGGCGGGAGAGCGCTGCGAGGTGCCGGCCAGCGGTATCGATCTGCTCACGTTGAAAAGCGTGGAACTCAGCAGGAAAGGATGCAACTCGCAGTCTCCGGAAAAGCAGACACCCCCCCGCGCGCGTGTTACCTCCTCCTGCTGCTGCTGCTGCTGGTGTCGCTGCGGGCCGCGGCGCCTGGCTCAATGGAGGGCGCTCCTGCGGGCTGCGTGGCGCCACTGCCTCCCTCACTGGCACCTGCCTCTCCTCCCACGCCCTAACGGCCGGCTCGCGCCCTAGGCAAAGGCCTAGTTCACCTAATGGGTGAGCCGGCCCTGAGTGGGGGTGCCTTTTTTTCTCTTAAACCAAGGAAGATGTGCCAGAGGAGAGCCCAGGAACAACAATGGGGTGGGTTCTGCCCCTCTCCTCCCATTAAACTGAGCAAAGTCTGAAGCCTTCTTCCAGCCCAAGGAGACTTCCTCCAATTTAAGCAACTCTTCCTTCAGTGGAAGAGCTGCTTAAGTCGGAGGAAGGCTTCCTGGAGGAAAGCTGAATCCACTCCACTGTTCCAAACTCCCATACCAAGGCCAGCGTGACAACCTCAATGTTCATTGCACAGACGTGCATTTTGGATCCTGAAGCTGGCCATAGTCACTTTGTGGATCCAGCACTAATCTGTATACTTTGCTGGTTAGTTATGCAAGGAAGCAGGGCCTGTACATAGCTGACTTGTGGATATGTTCTGACACTGATACACTCTTAGGGGGTGCGGTCTGGCACACAGAATTGCTGCAGTCCAGCTGGTCTGATTGTATGTGGACGATGGCTGGCCTGGGTTAGCATCCAGTGCACAGTTGGGTATGCTGAAGCCACTGGAAGTCAGTGGCGCTGATGCGCCCCTAGCTCTGTGTGGTGTTGTGTTTCTTGTGCATAATCCTGAGGGAAGTTCTCTTTTAAAAGTGTAATTGAAATGAACAGAACTTGCGAAAGAGCCAAGTGGGTCCTTGCATGACTCTTCTTCATTTCCAAGCAGCTTCCGCAAAAGATGTTCCCAGTAGGTTGCGGTTATTTTGCTCGTACATGAGGATAAGGACCAGGGCTATTTTTGGGCAGGAACGCACAGGAACGGAGTTCCGGCTGGCTCCCAAGTTGACCACGCCCAGCAGGAACTCATTAGCATAATAGGCCACACCCAATAGCAGAAACTCATTAGGATTGGCTACATTAGGGGTGTGGCGTAATATGCAAAGGAGTTCCTGCTACGAAAAAAGCCCTGGGTTTTGACAACAAACAAGGTAAACAGAATAAAAGGTGGGTGTGGCTGGATGACTATACTTCTGGTAACATGGGGATGCAGCCTAATATGCTAATGAGCTATGCTCTCATGGATGTGGCTGGCTATGCTAATGAGTTTCTGTTGTTGGGTGTGGCCTATTATGCTAATGAGTTCCTGCTGGGCTTTTTCTACAAAAAAAGCCCTGATAAGGACGATCGAGTCTAAATGCAAGACTGTGCAGGTCTCTTTTATTTAAAGAGAAGGGATTTCAAGCCCTTCTGGTTTTCAGCAGAAGCATAATTTGTAGCCAGAACTTGCATGCTAACTGAATTTTTCATGCACCACGTTTTAAACGATTTCTGTGGCACGGCCGCTCATGAATGTAGCTGACGATCTTT